AGTCTGGGAAATCTGTAAGTCAGGGCATCAGATATACTTACTTTGTCCTTCAGCTCCAGGGTTTGCTTAAGCTCGATATTATAAGAATTTACTTAATTCTCAAATTTACTTTCTAATAAGATACTTCTTGGAATAATCCCATAGAACTGAATGTGTTATTTCCCTATACATGAAAATAAGATTCAAATCATAAGTACACGACTGGAGTTTAACACATACAAATTGTTATTTTCATTTAATAACATTGGGTTTTGTAAGACTAAGTTAAACTAAATTGTTTTTAAGGCCATATTGTTAGAGTGACCGTTGATGAGAATTATCTATTGAATAACAATGTACAAGTACTGCTTAGTAAAAATTAGTGTTAAATATTAATTTTTTAGTTGTGTAAAGTAATTTTAAAAAAATACCATAATTTTAAAGAAAGAATTTTTTTGTTTTGTTTTTTGTTTGTTTGTTTTGAGATGTTGTCTCACTCTGTCGCCCAGGCTGGAGTGTAGTGGCACGATCTCAGCTCACTGCCACTTCCACCTCCCGAGTTCAAGCAGTTCTCTGCCTCAGCCTTCCGAGTAACTGGGATTGCAGGTGCCTGCCACCACACCCAGCTAATTTTTTTTGTATTTTTAGTAGAGATGTGGTTTCACCATCTTGGCCAGGCTGATCTTGAACTCCTGATCTCGTGATCCACTCGCCTTGGCCTCCTGAAGTGCTGGGATTACAGGCTTGAGCCACCACACCCAGTCTAAAGAAAGAAAAATTCTTAATGACTGTGTAACAGATTGAAAGTCAGGTATATTTATTTTTACTGTTAAAATGCATTTAAACCTGCTTCTTATAAAACCCAGGATCTTGGCACAATGTGCAATCAGTTTGTCTTTAAAAAACATTTTGCCATTAACTTTCTATTTCAGAGTAACACCAATGAATGTCATTTAAATTTTTCCTAATATTTCTTCCTAATTTTTTGCTTTTTGCTTTGGAGTGTGGAAAAATGAATTCTCTAAAATCAAGAAGCAAATTTATCTTTTACATTCTTGCTATGTTCTGGAATTTATTTGTGCCTGCTTTTTAAGGGATATATTTAATATAAGTATTAAGTATCTAGTTCTGTTACTGTTGAAAAGTTGAATATCCTTCACGGTTTTCACTTTTTTAGAGGTGGGGTTATTACGTGGCACATAGAGCCTGAAGCCTTGCTCTTAGAATACTTTTCTCCAAGCACCAACCTGATCCACCTGCACACCCATGTACCCTACTTCTTTTTTTAAACTTTTATTTTAAGTTCAGGGGTACAAATGCAGGTTTGTTACATAGGTAAACTTGTGTTGTGGGGGTTGCTGTGCCAATTATTTCATCACCCAGGTATTAAGGCTAGTACCAACTGGTTATTTTTCCTGATCTCTCTCCTCCCACTCTCCACCCTCCAAAAGGCCCCAGTATGTGTTGCTCCCTTCTATGTGTCCATGTGTTCTCATCATTTAGCCTCCACTTATAAGTGAGAACATGTAGTATTTGGTTTTCTGTTCCTGTGCTAGTTTGCTAAGGATGCTGGCCTAAGACCTAAAGATGGAAATACCATTCTATCCTACTTCTAAAATATGTAATTCTTGAAATGATATGGAATAAAATGGAGGTATTTCAACTTTAGTGTGTTGTTTCAGTTGTATTAAATAAAAAAAAAAAAAGAAGGTGGCTGGCCAAGTGCTGCAATACATTGAAATAAAGGCATAGCTTAAAGTAGCTCTGAAAAAAAAAAAAGAAAAGAAAAGAAAAGGAAAAAGGAACAAGGGTGTTCTACTTCTCTCCCAGAAGTGAGGTGACAGCAGCCATATTTGTGTTCTGGGAATTGAAGGGAAAACGTCCTCAGGCTTTCCTGGATTGCTCTTTCCACCACAGGTTATTGCACTTCAGTTCATTGTTCATATAGACATCTTGTGCCACCACAGAGACAGAGGAGCTCATGGATTTTTTATTTTCCCAAATCAAACTCCTTACAGTCATGTTAATATGCTTTTCTGATTGTAAAATGTCTAGTTTTCTTAAACGTGTTGACTAAGACATCTGTTGTAAAGGACTTAACTATAGATTTGTCATTGTTTCTGAATACTATGTGTATTTTAATTAATGGATCCATTTATTCATTCATTTTTGGGCCCTCCCACACAAAGCTTTTGTGGCATGATATACACATTTTAACTACATATCAGAGTGTCTTCACTTGCCACTTCTTTTGATGTAGCATTGCTATACATCCTGTAACAATGTTATATCACAAGCAGGAGAAGGCAGTAAACAGAACTGAGGGAAGGAAGAATCTGGCTGTCAGTGTAAATGTAAATAGCAGCTGTCCCACTCAAACTGTTTTTAAAAACCACACGGTGAGAGCTTTGCATAAAATGGGACAGATCCGCAAGAATCAGGTTTCAGCACAAAATTCAAGAGGCGTGCTGCCATCCTCCTGTTTGCCCTGTTTTACCTCTCCCACTATTGTGCAAACAATAAAGCAAAAGGATTAGATGGATGGATGGATAGGTGGATAGACAGATAGATAGACATAGATAGATAGATAGATAGTCTCTGTTAAAATGTCATTTAAATATCTGTTTCGGTGTGAACAATAACAATGTGCAGCTGTATTAATATACGTAACTCGACTTGCTGGACAAAGATGACACTATTGATGGTATTATACTGTTAGTTACAAGATACTTTTGAATCCTAAGGTCCACATGAGTTTATCCTCTGGTCAGGTGCTGTAGCATTATTTGATGGGTCAAGCTTTAAAACATTTTTACTTCCAAATTTGAAACTTCTCAAATAATCTCCCTTCTATCATTTTTCAAGCAACAGTGAGTGTCCTGTATGGCATAACAATGACTTTAAAACACACACACACACACACACACGCACCTTTGTGCAATTTCTTCTGCCAAATACTCACATATTTTCTTACCTTAAACCATGACCCCATTAAACTAGCACTATTAAGATTAATAGTGAGACCACTTCCATTTAGTTACATCATCTCTCTATTTAAAATAAAAGAAAAAATAAGATGTTTTTCACCATACAAATACTAAAATTGCAACTAAAGACCTACCATTGCTTATGTGAAATATGTGTGGGGAGGGACATAATCAGAGTTTACAAAACATTAACTACACTAATATGTTTACTTATTACAATACCTTTTATATTAAACTAGACTTTTTTTTTGCTAAGGCCTAGAACAGGAGGCTTCACCTTGTGGGAATGAAAAAAAATAGTATCTTTTTGTTTTGTTTTGTTTGGAGACAGAGCCTTACTATGTCACCCAGACTGGAGTGCAGTAGTGTAATTACGGCTCATGACAGTCTCAGCTTCATGGTGTCAAGCAATCCGCCGGCCTCAGACTCCTGAGTGGCTAGGGACTGCAGGCATGCACCACCACATCTGACTAATTTTTAAATTTTTATAGATATGATGGGGTCTTTCTATGTTGCCCAGGCTGGTCTTGAACTCCTGGGCTCAAGGGATCCTCCTGCTTCTGCCTCCCAAATTGCTAGCATCTTTACTAAGGATATTTTCATTGATATTAACTGTTCCCTTTTGTATATTTTGTATCTCTATAAACTTTTCCTCCTTTTTCTTCATATTATCAGCTATTTCATTTTTTCCTGGTGCTTGTAATATAACATCTTGTATTATATACTGTCACCATAATAACAACAAACATGACAAGATTATAGGTAATATTCATATAAGTTCAATAAAAATTATAAAGTGCAACTAAGATACTTGTTGTTGTTGCTACTATTATTGTTATGACTGTCATTTTCCTAGAGACAGGCAATCTTTGGTACTCTTTTATATTCCCCATTACTCCTACCTAGCACTGTGCCTTGAATAAAGTAGGTAAGTAGATGCTTAGTATGAACAGATATACAGTAAAAACTTGATTTTATTTTTAACTTTTAGGTTCAGGGGTGCATGTGAAGGTTTGTAATATAGGTAAACTGTGTCATGGGGGTTTGGTGTACAGATTATTTCATCACCCAGGTAATAAGCATACAACTCAATAGGTATTTTTTCTGATTCTCTCCCTCCTCCCACTTTTTACCCCCAAGTAGGTCCCAGTGTCTGTTGTTCCTCTCTTTGTGTCCATGTGTTCTCGTTGTTAAGTTCCCACTTATGAGTAAGAACATGCAGTATTTGGTTTTCTGTCCCTGTGGTAGTTTACTTAGGATAATGGCCTTCAGCTACTCTTGCAAAGAACATGATCTCATTCTTGTTTGTGGCTGCATTGTATTCCATGGTATATATGTACTACATTTTGTTTAGAAAACTTGATTTTTTAAACAAAAATTTAGTGGCCAGATAAGATTTGCCTTGACTGAGCTTTAAAAATACCATTGTTTTCCAGATTGATTTTCATCACTTAATTTTACTTTGCTGGGAAGCCATGTTCACACCACTTCTTAAAAATATACTTGGGTTTAGGATTTTGTGAGAGAACAAAGTTATTCATGATTTTCCAAAGTTCTCCAACTTCCTTGAAAAGTTACCTGGACCCTCTGTAGGTATTTTAATAGGTCTCATGGAAAAGACATCTGAATAGTTTAGACACACTAAGAATAGGCTGTAGGTTCAGCAGCCACAAAATGACTTGTCCATGGGACCATTTCCCTTGGGAATCATGTGTGAAACCTGGGAAGTCAGTCCGGTCTGATGACCAGAACCATGAGGGGAGTCAACACTTCTGGATTGTGTTTCTGTTTTTTTCCCCTCAATTTTCCACCTCTCCCTGCCTGCTAAGTCACTTCTCTGTTCCTCAATTTCCCCTCATTCTTCCTCATTACCTCCCCTCTTCCCCCCAAACAGGTCTTTTTTCTTGAATAGTTTAAGTAGGAAAAATGATTTGTCTGACCACAGCCAGGAGTGAGGTTTGAGCAAAATGCAAGACACTACTGTTATTAAGGTTGAATGCTGGTGAGAACCTCACTTGTGTTATCTGCCAACAGGGGAGGCTTTGCACTTGGCTCGGGATTTTGGCTACACTTGTGAAACAGAGTTTCCAGCCAAAGCAGTAGGAGAACATCTTGCCAGACAACATATGGAACAGAAAGAACAGACAGCAAGAAAAAAGATGATTCTGGCGACCAAGTAAGCAGAACGGGGAAACCTCTGTGTGCTTTCGTCTTCAGTCTTTGTTTTTGTTTTTTTTTTTCTTTTCTTTTTTTTTTCATTTTCTTTGAAATGAGGAAAACAAGTCTAGAAGGCACCCGTTTTCTAAAACAAGGAAGTTCTCACACACCAGCAGCTAAATATATTAAACAAGGACTTTCCCCACTTTGGTACCCAGGCAAGGTTTACAAACTGCCCTTGATTAGTGATAAGGCTGTCGTTGAAACTGATGAAAGTTCTTGGAAGGCCTCTCCAGAACATGCAGAAATCCCTTGGAGAAAAGCATGTTTAGGAAATGTAGATCCCAGGCAAATGTGCCTTTGGTTGCTGTGTAATTTGGTCTAAGGCACTCATTTTGCCTTAATAAATGAGAATAAAGCTCTCAAAACACCATAAATGTTTGGGGAATGTGACAGAAGATGAGGTCACAGGTTGGTGAGAGGTACCAGGGAGACCTCTGGGACCAAGGATCACCATGAGTGCCCCCAGCCTGTCTTGCGTATAGGTAAACAAATCATCCTTGTACTGCCTCATAGTGTTATTGTCTTTTTTTTTTAAGGTATAATATATTTCAAAGCTTCTGGAAATTGTAAAATGCCTAATTAAAATGCAAACGAAAATAATGAGGAAAATGATACGGACAAATTTGACAATACAACGGAAAAAGGGGAAGCTTGCATGAGATGACTTTTAAATTCCCTGACACTTGAAAGTTCTTTGATAATTAGTGGGAATACTACCATTTATTGTGCAAAAATCCAGTAGAACCGCAGGTAGCACTGCAGGTTATGTTCAAAAGTTTTAGAGGAAAATCCTTCTGGTAGTAACTAATTCTTGTTATCCTCTCTTTATTGAAATAAGTTATTGCTACATATAGGCCATTAAGAATCTTAAATAATTTTTAATTCTATATTAAGATTTTAGAACTGGTGGTTTCAGCTGGTTAATAACTGTCATTCATGAATTAATTTTTTATTCAGGGAAAAGTATTTTGTTTGGTTTTTTGTTTGTTTTTTGAGACAGGGTCTCACTCTGTTGCCCAGGCTGGAGTACAGTGGTGCAATCATGGCTCACTGTAGCCTCACCCTCCCCAGGTTCATGTGATCCTCCCACCTCAGCCTCCTGAGTAGCTGAGACTACAGGCATGAGCCAGCATGCCCCCCCACCCTGTTTTTTGCATTTTTTGTAAAGATGCATTTTTGCCATATTGCCCAGGCTGGTCTCAGACTCCTGGGTTCAAGCAATCTGCACTCCTTGGCCTCCCAAAGGGCTAGGATTACAGGCATGAGTCACTATGCCCAGCCTTAGGGAAAACTTTTTAAGAGAAAATCTAGGGCAGAGAATATTAAAAACATTGCTTCTTAGAAACTGATAAAAATTAGTTATTTAATGCCTTTACAACATAATGGCTAAAATTTAAATTGGCTCAAAATGCATAAAACCAAAACTAAATATTCTATTTTCTACCAGCTTCTTATGTAACACAGGTCTTTTTACAAATTTAAGGAGAATATGGGATACTTACCATCTCACAGGTTTGTCCAAGACACTTGAATCCCTTAACTGAAGTTTACACACTGCTGTGGCTGGCACTGTTTGGACTTAGGACTCTATTTATCTATTGTGTTCTGAAAGTACTAGATGATCTCATCTTGTCCCAAAGAGAAGAAAAGCAAAAGTTGGTGCCAGAAGGAATAGAGAAAAAGCAAAACAAGATTAAGGGGAAAGGAATAGCAGAAAGAGAGAATGAAGACCAGGAGATAGAGAAAGAAAATTATAAGGCAGATATGAAAGTTGGACTTAAAACCTGGGAATAAATTTTGTGATGTGGAAACCCCTGAAAACTCGCTAGTAGGAAGACCTAAATCTAAACCTTTTGCATAGTGTGTCTTCTGGGAGTCTTTACCTCTACTGTGTACTCTTTTCCTTTTCCAAATAACTTCTTGACTAAATTTTTTTTCCAAATAATTTCAGTCATGTTTCAGTTTCTCCAGAAGGAGCTGAAAGCACATATAGTTAGTTTGAATCCTTTACATTACCGTAGGAGAAAGATAAAGACTTGTTACAGAACAAGATAATTATACAGTACTAGAATTTAGGTAATATCTCCCAGATGTTTCCATAGCAAATCATCCTAGCTGGCAGGATCATGCAGATTTACCAATGCACAGATCCATGTGAATTTTACTGTTGTCCCAAAATACAAATTTCCAAGAGAAAACACCTTCATTTTTTCTACCTCAAAATGACTTGGTTGTGGTTTTATCATGCATATTCAAAGACTTTCACTCCTTAATCCAGAGAAACACTTCTCCCTGTCCTCCTTCCCCCAGGAATGGTTTTGGAAGTATTCACCACTACCATCATCGACACAATAAATAACAATTCCTATTTTCTTAGAGATTCCCATCATTCTATTGAAGTCTGCGGTAGTCTCTGAGTACATTCAAATTAGCACTGAGATTTTGTTTTAATAGAAGTAATGCTAGAAGAATTTGAGGGAAATAAGAGAAATGCATCCATATTTGTCAAAATTTTACTGAGACATCTATTTTCGAGTAGCGTATTTGACCAGGTAGTAGTAGTTTCCTTTTACCTGGGATCTAAGTAACATATATTATTTTAGGTGATATTTTGAACTTTGATTTCATAAAACATTGTGAGAACATGTAATTTTCTTTTATCTGTCTGCTTATAGCTGCACATTTGCAGACCATTGAATGTCAAGCAAGAATTCCACTCATTTCAATTAACTTATTTTACAGAGAGTAAATAGGCATACACATCTGAAAATTATAATACAGCTTTATAATTTTTTATTTTTGTTATTTATATGCATCCTGTCTTCTTATCGGACTATGTGAAATAAAAATTAGAGAATCAGAGACTGCAGTCATAGCAAACATATGTAATATAACCAGTAATCACTATAACTAGATAAACTAGGGGATGTGTAGAAATAATATCCGTTTTGTGCAACATATGAATGGTCACAATGTGTTCTGAGAAGTTTCTAATTTTACACCAATGGTAAAGCACTGGATATTTTCATCAATTAAAATGGTAAAAGTTAATATTGACTAGCCTATTATGGATATTCATTACATCCTGGTCAGTTCACCTTTATTCATAAGACTTGAACAACTTTATAAAAAATATACATGAAATCTAAAATTTATTGAATGAGAGATCCAATTGCTAATCTGCATTGTCAGATTGGCCTACATATTTCTTTTTTACCTCCATGAATTACAGATTCAGTTGTCTTTAAGTATATCGCCAAGTATACAATTGTATAGAGTCTATTAATTAAGTGTCATTAGTCTTCTAATTCCTCTTTATTTCCAGTGTTTTGTTGATTAAATATTTTGGTGTAATTTAGACATTTACTTAGGTGAAAGAATAGAAACTGAAACATTTTTTGAATTCTAAAAATGAACCAGACAAAACATGTGTTTAGTTGGTTAATAGAAAACATATTTAAACTTTTTCATTGAATTTAGAACTAAATATGTCTAACATTTGATTTGCATTAAGGTAAAGCAGAATAGTTAACAACTTTTAGTGTTACCATAATATTAATCATCTAAAGGTGAAGCAGAGAACTTGGATTTCAGACATCAGCTAAAAACTTACGTCCTTAAGGACAATGATGTAAGTGATAAAGTTAGAATGTATGATTCATTGAAGATCATCTTGTGTTACATAATTCATAATACGACATTTTGTCTTGAGATGTAAGATTGTTTCTTTTTGTAGATTTATAAATAAAAATTTAAATAAGAATGAAAGTGGTCATAAAATCATAATTCTGTAAGTGCCATAATGAGATGATGATGATAATTGCCTAGGGGGAATCTACAGGATTGTCATCTGTTTTCAAGTCTAAACTTGAAAGTGAGTGAGTTAAGCTGTAGAATTAAATATAAAAGGGGGAGAGTTCTAATATTACTCCTGGTAGAGCTTCATGTGTGAATTATTTAGCATGAGTTAAATTTTTCCACCTCTTTAGCTTTTTGTAATTTCTTCATCAATTTTATTATAACTTGCTGTATTATTTATACAGGAACAAAGTTGATTTGTCAACTTAAAAGTTTATTCCATTATCCAATTAATTCTGATATTATGCCATAATAACTAAAGCAATGTTTCGATCTTTATTTTAATGTTTTAAAATTTATTTTAATCTGATAGAAAAACTAAAAGTAAAAGACTGCTAAAAACAAAAGTCTAAAAACAACACCAATCTTTCTTTGTAAGAATGGATCATAATGATGACCTACCATACAGTAAATTGTAAATGATACCATGAGGCTAAATTTAAAATTTTAGTTAGAAATTTCAATAAACAAAGACAACAAATCTATATTAAATGACACAAAGCACAAAAGATGATGATATACTCCTCAAAATGGCACCAAACACTTAGATTAAGTTGCATTCATTGATTAAAATATGAGCAATACACCTGAAAATGGGTATATTTCATAAAGCAACTGAGTCTCACAACAAAAAATGTGAGGAGTTCAGAAGAAACCTTCTCAATGAAAGTAAAAACACACAGTTGTTAAAAGCATGTATTCAGATGCTGTATCTCAGAGATCCAACTGGTCCTTTAGGAAGGGGATGTGGAGTATCTTATTTCATTGAAGCAAATAAGGACTTTTTTTCCTTTCTCTGACTCTTTTTTTACTTTCACCTGTGTTCTGCAAACATGAATAAGGCAATTCTGTGAAATGACACAATATTTGAACACTGGCATTAAACCAGACCCTCACTGTTCATTTAAAATATCATAAGCGATCTTTGATGGAATTCAATAAATTTTAGATATCTGATTAAGAATTCTCCACTGATTTTGACTCAGTGATCAATTATTTGTACTTTAAGATATTTTGTCACTTTTTGGTAGTCATTTGTTAATGACACAAATGGCTTGCAGCAGAATAATGGCCGAGTTCATATTCACTTGAAATAATTTGACCCTTCTATACCTGTCTTTTGTTACATTGATAGTCAAAGTCAGGACTACAATATTATACTTTGCAACTGCCCATTGTAAAAACAGATAAAAAACCTAATTACTATCATATTATCCCTTGATTATGGAGTCACCTCACTTTAGATGATGGATGCTTTAAGTAATTGCTTGGCAATCCTTTACTTTTCAGAGACTGGACTAATTTAGTGTTTTGTTGTTAAAAAACAAAACAAAAACAAAATCTCTTTGTATAGTGTATTCTGCTTCTTTAGAATTATATCATTTGCACTGTACATCACAAGGGCTCTATTGTCACATGCTAATACTGTAATTAAACTGAAACGAATGACCTAAAACCATAACCACTTAAAGCAAAAAAATGCAGCAGGAAAGTTACCTTGAGGGTACTTTTTGCAAGAAATTAGCTTACATGGCACATAATACAACCATTTTTGTGAGGCTAGTGAACTAAATTACTGGTGATTATCTGCTTCAAATATTAACATATAAAGTTAGCTCATAAGAATATGAATTCTAATGCAATCTTGGGAAAAAAGGATTTTCCGAAGTCTGTTTGAATCATGGCTCTGAAGTAAGACTATAACTTTAATTAAATTTGTTTACAGATATGATGTCTAAAAAAATCACATTTCATTTAAAAAGATCATCGTGATCATTTCATATGGGGTTTCCCTTATCCTGAGGTTAATTTATGAATAGTCATCTTAAAAATGAACATTGGTCTTATCAGTGCTCATGGATTGTTATTTGTTTGAAATGTTGTATGATTATCCTATAGCTATTAAGAGCAAAGTCACAATTGTGAACCTCAACTGTATGCTATGAATGGAACTTTTGAGGTTGCTTTATGAAATGTTATCCAGACTGCTTTTAAAAGACAGAACAAGTCTTTGGTTAAATATCATGGGATGAAATTAAAGCCCAATTTCAAAAGTTCAATTTTAAATTTGATTCTTTTATTTTAGACAAATCTGTAAAGAATTCCAAGACCTCTTGAGCCAAGATAGATCACCACTGGGATCCTCCAGACCCACTCCAATTCTAGACCTTGACATCCAGAGACATTTAACACATTTCAGGTAAGACTGGTTTTCCAGATTGCTCAAATTCTTTACTAACCCAGACTCTTGTATTCCTATCACAGTTCTACTTAGAGATATCACTTATATATTTATATGGTGACTGTCCTAGTCCTTTCAGATAGGTTATAACAAAATACCTTAGACTGGGTAATTTATAAACAATAGAAATATATTTTTTACTGTTCTGAGGGCTGGGAAGTCTGAGATTAAGGTACCAGCAGAGTTAGTTAGATAAAGGCTTGCTCTTTGCTTCAGAGATGGCACCGTCTCAATTTTCTCCCACATGATGAAAGGGCCAAACAAGATCCCTTGGGCTCTTTTATAAGGGCACTAATCCTATTCATGAGGGTTCTGCCCTCATAAGCTAATCACCTCCTAAAGACTCTATTTAATACTATTGCATTGGGGATTAGGTTTCAATATATGAATTTGGAGTGGAGTAAAGGGGACACACATATTCAGACCATAGCAGTGATTGACTGAACTTTTTGAAATTCCAAGCTTGTAAAATCAAATTGAGAGAATAACAAGGCATGAAGCATTTTAGATTGGAAAATTTTATATCTTTATGTGTTGTTAGGAAATCATTACTTTATAAAAGTGAACACTATTATTTCAAATAATACTTAGCATTTTTGGATGAGGGTTCTGAAATCTTTTAAATCATTCTTTATCTTGGTGACACAAATTGTTTGATGGAAAGATGCCATGACAGAAGTTAACAGGATATCACTAACTGGTTTTCCAGAACTATGATAAAAATTTCTATGCAATTAAAAACTGCAAATGGTTCTTAAGTTAGACCACACAAGAGCATGAAATGTATTATTGGAAGCATATTTTAAATTTAATTTTCTGATGTGTTTTGGGAATGAAGAAAATATTTTTTATCTGGTTGGTTTATGCCCCAGATGGAATGTGAGAAAGAACATGGTAATTACTCAGGTGCCTTACATTTTTAAAACTCTAGAATTTTAATGCCTACATGATAGGCATATTGTACCCTTTCTTAGTTATTATCATTTAGTTAAACAATGGTAAGGAAAGACTAATACACATTAAATATTAACATGATTTCAATACCTGTCAAAAATTGTAAAGCTGTTGAGGAGGGCGCTTCATTATATAAAATAACAAGTGTTTAAATAAGTTGAAATTTAGGCTGCAACATCAGAGACAGTTAAATAGAATATTCTATTTTACAATATGTCACAAGTTTCCTCAAGATGTAATAGACACACATCTCTGAAGACTCAATTTAGGATTTATCTTCCAAAAATGCACAAAATGTAGGATATATTTCACAGGACTTCTCTCCTATCACTCAGTTGAGCTAGTGATAGGAAGTGTAATAAAATTGTGGGAAAATAAAATGCCCAAATGCTATGAGCAAAAGGTTTTGGAGTCAAAACCTTTTCAAATCCTTGTGTCTGTGAGCCTTTATGTATGTGAGCTGGGTTGTTTGGGGTAACTCACCCACTCTTTCCAAACCTTTATTTCTTCAGCTTTAAATGGGATAAGAACCCCTCCATTATATGGTCATAGGTGAGCTAAAATGAGATAAAGAATATAAAGTAGGCGTTCAGTAAATGACGTTTCATTTATCTTCACCACCGATCCAAGTTTAAATTTGTTTCCAGCATTATATCTACACAAATATCTTTCATATTTTTGTTTGTGTGCACAATAAAGGGATTTATAATTTTTACAAAAGATCAACTCAGAACTTAATTTTCATTGAGATTTGATTCTGGATTTAAAGAAGTGTGTTAAATTACAATTTTACTCTGAGAAGGAGCATACTATTAAAGTACAGAGAAATGAGACTCTGACATGTATGCTAGATTATTTCCAATTACAGATGCTGAGGCCTTCATCAGATAGTAAACCATTCTTTTTATGCTCAAAACAAAATAGAGCACTGGTCGAACATCAGCTAGTGTGTGAAATAAATAGGCAAAACATTTGTCTTCTTAGCATAGGCACAACTTGCTGATTTGTCAATACATTAGTCAGTTGCCAACTTAGTGCCACAGAACTCTTTAGAGAAAACTGACTCCAAAATGTGAGCTGCACATTTTCTTTGTGGGTTTCATAAGCTCTTATTTACCTCCCTGTACAGAATACGGGAACAAGCTGGTGTTACTCAGAGTGCAGCTAACTATATGGTAAATGGCTACCCTCACCCCTAGTGAAAAGAAAGTGAGGTTTTATTGGAGGTGTAAAACTCTCAAGATTGTATGTGGCTTCAGTTTCTTAATCACAATTTCAAGCATAACCGTATCTTAAAACTTTCTAACACTACATATTTACTTACGATAGTATCATCTATAATATGTTGGTATTATTTATATATTGAATATTTTGAATATTTGAAAATTATGATTTCCTATTTATTATGCTTTTAAATGTTTGCAAGAATTTTTATTTTTCTTTAATTATAGTCAAAATTATTTATTTAGATAAAATCTTCTGATTTTATAACAAAAGTAGTAGGATGATACAAATCACATAACCAAAGATTTCTTTATAGCAAATTTCCTACTATGTCTTTTTCTTAAACTGTGATTAAAAACACATAACAGAAAATTTACCATCTTAACCATTTCTAACCAATTCAGTAGTGTCAAACATATTTTCATTGTTGTATTACCAATCTCCACTTTTTTATTTTGTAAAACTGCCTCTGTACCCATTAAACAACTTCCCATCTTCTCCTCTCCCCAGCCTCTGTCAACTACCATTCTATTTTGTGTTTCTGTGGATTTAACTACCCTAGACATCTCATATAAGAGGAATCACACAGTATTTGCCTTTTTGCACTGACTTATTTCACTTAGCATAAGGTCTTCCAGGTTCATTCATGTCGTAGCATGTGTCAATTTTTTTTTTCCTTTTCAGGATGCACAGCATTTCTCTCTGTGTGTGTGTGTGTGTGTGTGTGTGTGTGTGTAAGTGTGTATGTGCCTATATATGCCACATTTTGTTTATCCATTCATTCACTGATGGCAATTAGGTTGCTTCACTTCTTGACTATCATGACTAGTGCTGCCAAGAACATGGGTGTGAAAATACCTCTTCAAAGTCCTGCTTTCAGTTCTTTTGGATACACACCCAGAAGGGAAATTGCTGGATGATATGGAAATTTTATTTGTCATTTTTTGAGGACCTATTCTAGCATTTTCCATAGCAGCTACATCACTTTACATTTTCACAGATAATGTACAAGGTTTCTATTTCTCCATCTCTTCACCAAATAGTAGCCATCCTAATGGATGTGAGGTGATATTTCATTGTTGATTTGCATTTCTCTAATGATTAGTGATGTTGAACATCTTTTCATATGCTTGTTAGCCATTTCTATATCATCTCTGAAGAAATGCTTAAGTCCTTTGCCCACTTTTTGACCAGGTTACTTTTTTTTATTAAGCTGGAGGTTTTTATATATTCTAGATAGTAACCTCTTCTTAGATGTATAATTTGCAAATACTTTGTTCGTTCTGTACATTTCTTTGTTAGTCTGTTGATGGTGTCTCTGGTACATAGTTTTAAATTTTGACGTAGTTTAATTTGTTTATTTTTACCTTTGTTGCCTGTGCTCTCGGTGTCAAATCCAGGAAATCTTTGTCGAATACAATGCAGTAAAGCTTTCCTGTATTTTTTCTTCTAACAGTTTTACAGTTGTATGTCTTGTTTCGGTCTTTGATTCATTTTGAGTTAATTTTTGTTTATGTTGTAAGGTAAGGGTCCAACTTCATTCTTTTGCGTGTCTTAAATTTTATCATTTTAAACAAAAGATACATGATTGGCATTTCCAATTGAAACCCAAAGTGAAGGTTCCTGATGTAGACTGAATTTAAATGTGTGTAATTTCTTTACTGCACATTTATTTTAAAAGGCATCAACAGAATATGTTAACAATAGGATAGCAAAAGTCAGCTTGTTGCTTAGCCTTGAAATAGACTCTGCACTTTACAAGTGTATTTCTTAAACTTGGCTTTATATCAGAATTGCTCTTGAAACTGTTAAAAAAAAAAACCTCAAGGATTGGAGGACATACTTAATATTTAAAGATTTGATTCAGTAGTTCTAGGGCTGAACTCAGGTATCTGTTATTTTTAAAACTCTGAAGTTGATTCTGATTGTTAGGCAGGTTTAAGAACCACAGTTCTAGGATATTCTGTAACTATAAGCTCTTTTCCCTCGCTTTGGGAGAAGAAAAGCTCCAGTTCACTTTTAAAGTGTCACTGAGAATTCTATCAAGTTTTGTATTGTATACTTAACATATTAAAAACATTCTATTGGGAGCCCGAGGTGGAAGGATCACTTGAGGCCATGACTTCAAGACCAGGCTGTGCAACAGGAAGAGACTCCATCTCTATCAAAAATTTTAAAATTAAAAATAAAAACATTCTACATTGATGATTCTACTAATAATCTGGGTAAACATGTGTTAGCATACAGCGTGTCTTTTTTATTTCATTTTATTATTTGTGAGACAGGGTCTCACTCTGTTACCCAGGTTGGAGTGCAGTGGCTCAATCATGTCTCACTGCACCCTAGACTTCCTGGGCTCAGGTGATTCTTGAGACTACAGGCATGTGCGACCATGCTTGGCTATTGTTTTGTATTTTTTATAGAGATAGTTTCATCATGTTGCCCAGGTTGGTTTCGACTTCGTAGGCTCAAGCAATCTGCCCACCTCAGGCTCCTAAAGTGCTGGATTACAGGCGTGTGAGCAACTGTACCGGGCCGAGTGTGTCCCTTTTAAAATTTTCTGCTGACAGTGACAACTGTAATTTCGATAGAACCATAAGCTCAAGAGAAAGATGAATTACAAAGGAGACATATCACATCTGACTTTGAAAGCAGACAATTGTCAGAGTACGATTTTCCACCGTCTTTTACTGAATGCTGGCTGGGAAAGAAATGAAGAGGGAGTGTAATTGGATAGGCATAGAGAATACTCTAATTAATAACATCACTTGTGTTACTAT